GCAGAAGCGGCGCCGGGGCCGCCTCGCCGCGTCCTCCCGCGGCCGCCGCGGCCACCGGCCGGGAAGCGGCCCGCTGTCAAACACCGTGCACCGTCTTTTATTTGAAGGTCTGCGTTGATCCTGCAGACAGAGCTGCTGTGCTCTCTAGGTATAAATCAGTCAATCGGCGGTGTGAAGCATGGGTTGTGCTGCAGTGTGTTCCCTGCTGCCCACCTAGAGCAAATGGGCAAGAGTCTTCCAGCGTTGTTCTTGAATACGTTTTGAAAACACAGGCCCATTTAATGACACACGTTGTGTATGGGAGCACATACWCATAAATGGCCCTGTTACTCCCCCCGAAGCATTTATTAGGAGGTTGTCTTTGTGGGACACCTGTTTTCAATCAGATGGATTGAGGTGTGGGCTACCTAAGAATATTTCTTCTTCCTTCTCTTTCTTTCCCCTTCTTTCCTTTTTTAAACATACGCTTAAAAGAAACTAGACCTCTTTTACTAGAGGATCTGTAGGTGTCATCTGTTTAGCAGTTTAAATATGGTTTACTTTTCCTGCTAGCAGGTATGAGAATATCAGTAGTTATACATATTGAGAGAGAAACATTGTTTGATATATATTTAAATGTAKAATGCTTTTATTTGTGCTTTCTCACCTTACAGTTTTGTTTTCTGGCTCTTAAGATTAAAAGATTGCACTGGAGAGAAATCTGCAACTGCATTAAGTAGTGGTGCAGTGAAGGACAGTCTTAAGCTGACAAGAGCACTTAGCAAGCTTTGCATACTTGGGGGAGCTGCATAGAGCTTGTTTTCTGAAGAGGTTCATGTCAGAGCACGAAGTGGTCAGGGGGTGATATTTCAGCTAGAGGGACAACTGGAGTGAAATTTTTGGGTCTTACCATGAACAATTCAGTTTCAAGATACTGTTGTCTTTTGTGATGKTTTTTTTAAAAAAAAGGTCCCAAATAGTGACTGCTTGAAAAAAATTAAGTGATGTAGTCTAATGTTTTCTGATAGAAAGAGAGGTTATAAAAGTATTTTCAAAAAAAAAAATCTTAAAGAACATGCATCTCAAAAGATTCAGTTTTGCCATAGGCTGCATACCMCCTGTTTTTGATGCTGTATGTTTTGTACCTTTTTTTCAGGAATATGGTACATCTGGTGCTGTGCAGCTGGATGTTGCTGAATAACATTTCCATGAGATTGCTSTTCCATCTTTCAGCTGTTCAGAATGGCAAAGAACCCTAATTTTCAGGAAGTTGCTCATCAGCCCACAGGCTACACCCACTATAGATCTTCAGACAACTTTACTGGTAAGAGGCAAACATATCTTTTAATTTAGTCTTTAGTTATATGTTATTTTGTATGCCATGATGGATCAAGTGTAATAATACTAATTTTGTATATATGTGAGCACATCATCTGAATTCCAGTAGCTGGATTCCTATAGCCAGCTAAGCTTAGTTCTGCCATCCTATGGGAAGAATACATCTCRGAGCAAAATGTGAAATGTTAACACTGCGGTGCTGAAGTAATTGGGATGTATTTGCAGACAAGCTCTGTGTATGTTTCTGTGTGCTGTAAGTCAGAATGCTTTACTTCATAATGCTGTCATGAAATGGTGTGGTAAATAGAATTACAGGTTTTTGTTTTGTTATCTTTACGGCAGAGGGGCTGGAGGTGAGAGTTAATTTGGGGGAATTATTTTGAGGAATAGTGTTTACTTGAAATTCTCTTCAACTTYTACAAATATAAACTCCTATGTGGATTGCATTATTATGGAACAGTTGTTTTCTCATGCATGCAGACATAGATATTAACATGATGTCAAGATTTTACTTTTCAATTAAAAATTAGAGGTTTTTTGTTTGTTTTAGACTGATGCCAGTAATACCATTTGTGTAACATTTTTGTTTAGTTGGCTTGTTTGGACATCTGCTTGAAGCAGATATTAGTGGGAGTCATTCGTATATAACTCAACGCGAATCAAAGCCTTGCTGTATTTTGAGATTGTTTATAGTGGCACGGGAAACTTCTTCATTCTTTCTGTGATATTTTGGCCATTGCATAAAAGAGAAATTTCTTTTTGAAATACCATAATGCTTTGTTAAGGAAGCATCTAATCTGGAAAGCTAGAGATTCTGGAATCTTAGAAATATTCTTTAAGTCTTCAGGAGTATTTGACTTGTACTTCAGGGCTGAAGCTCAGGGCTAAGGCCCTTTTGCTGGTATTTGCTGGTATTGCTAGACTTAGAATAAGCTACTAAGATTTGTAATCAAATTAGAATTGTTAATGCTTATTTTGTTTTCTAAAGTCCCAATTAAAATTAAAAATAGCTAAGGAGGCAACAAATGTTTCTAATGAAACATTGTTGCACATCAGCCCTTTTGTCTGTTGTGAAACTGAAGAAAGTGGCCAGGCACTAATCTTAAGAGCTTAGGTCAAATCATAATATTGACCATTTTACTTAATACTTGAATTTCCATGAATAAATTTTAAAATTCTTCACTAACTTGATTAAAAACTTCAAATTGAATAGTTATTGTATTAGAACATATATTTTTTTTCTGCTTTCTGCTGTATTTTTCAGTCATAGTCAACTTTATAATGCTGTTGCTCCTGAGCTCCTGTGCTAAGGTTCTGGCAGAATCAAAGTACTTGCTCACTTTTTTTTTTTTTAACCTGTATGTGTTTTGAAATAATACAGAAAAAAAGCCTTTGCTTCCTGAGATGTCAGTTTAGTATACCAAAGCTTAGATAAGAACAAGTTATTTCTTTGTAGAGAAAGAACATGAGCATATCCACTACAAAGCATCCAATTGTTTTGAAACAATGTTATGTTTGTGCAATAGCCTTACTGTCACACTTCCTGTGTCTAGGATGTCTATGGTAATAGTAATTGCATTAAAAATAGTATTTTGATATGATTTATATTAAAGGACTCTTTTGAAATTTTTGAAGTTTTTGGAAGTAATGTTTTTCAAAATATTAAAATGCTATTCCAATCTGCTCAGAACCATCATAATTCCTTTTTCTAGAAGAATCAGAAATTTAAGCAAATGATACTTAAGCCAATTCCTCTGTGTAACTTGGACAAAATCTGTGCCATTTTGATGGGTACACTGGATGATAAAGGACAGAAACGTTTCAAGGACATGCGGTTAACTGCTCTATTTTTATAATCCAGACTTACTTTTATGAAGTTCTGAATTCTGGCATTGTCTGGCTRCTTTCTAATTTGTTATTCATACATTATTTTAAAAGTTTCAGTAGGGCTGTCAGCTACTTCAAAACATTTTTTCACTCATCTTTTAATTACAAATTTCCAGAATCCTCCTGAACAATTTCTTAAATTTCTTATTTTGTGTCTGATATACAAAGACAACTTTTTGATGTTTCACTGAATCAGCGCTCTTTTTCAGAGAACTCTTTGGTGATAGTTCAAATTTGGGGAAGCATAAGGGAGTGCTCAAGACTGGACATGGGCTTAATGCTGCTCTTTAYTGCACTTCTGATTTGAGAGTTGTTTAGTAAACATCTCACTGTGGTTTTGCTGCTGCTGCAGCATTTTCTGGATTGTATTTTTTGTATTTTGTGACATTTTTTAGGTTATCTATTAGACATGCGAGCAGAAGCAGCAATCCATTATGATGAAAAGCCATGAGAACTAATTTACTCTATTATCAGGGTAAAAGGATTCCTTTATTTACAGTGTCCTGTGTTTGCTATAGTTCACTTGCTTCTGGTATCTGTCATGTCCACCTGGGCAAGTGGCTTTTTAATTCAAATAGTGGAGACAGCCTGAGGAAGCTGGATTCTGCTCGCATTTGTGCTGTGACCAGTATTATCAATGTAGTTTCTTGTATCAATCTTTTTCTTAATTTATTTCTATCCTTTCTCTGAGTGGTTTAATTTCAAGTTCTCTGTCTGCATTTCTGCAGTCTCTTARCTTCAGATCAAACATTTCTAGGTATTATGGAAATACAAATAATATTTAAACTCATATATTGCTTTTCTGAGGAAACAAAGGTAACTGGAAACAGCTGTGTATTTTCTGATTACATTTTATATATAGCTAAATAAATGCATTCATCTCATACACTATATATATATATACACACACACACAYGCAAACACCCCCCTTAGTAAATGCATTGCTCATGAATATTTTCTTCTCAAGATGTATGCTAGGTACTTAGAGAACATAGTTTTCATCGTTTTGCTGTTACTTTTGGCATGCTGTCTTTCCTGAGTATTACGTGCACACCCATTTTTTTGAAAGGTGGTGAGCTCCTGGGGCATAGAATGTGTTTGAAAGTATAGTTGACTTATCTGAAAGAGCTTCCCTCATTTTATTTAAAAGTAAATGGTAATATAAGAAGTATAAATAACTGAATTAAGGCTTTAATTTTGCTGTGGGTACTCTTGACAGTGAAACTGCATACTGTTTTAGRTGCAAAAATAAACTAATTCAAACAGGCGAAGGGAAGAATAAAGTTATGATTTAAGAAATTTCAAAATGATTTCATAGAAGATGTGAATAGCACATTCATCTCTCTTAAAAATCATGAAAGTGTGTTATGTCATTATAAATAGATATTTGTTATTTTATTTTCTTCAGTATATGATTGATTAAGAAGATACTGAGAAAACTGAGTAAAAAAAAAAGTGTCAAAGAAACGTCCTCTACTAATGTGTCGGTATCTTCTTAATCAAAAGTTTGCTCTTTGGTAAAGTTTGCCCATAAACTGCCAGAAGTCATCATAAATTCTGGAAAGTAAATGGAAATTCTGCAAGTATGAATTAATACTAATACTTTTCCTCATCACTGATAAGAATATTTTAGTAGAGATTTCAGAGTAAAGATTAACTAATCAGATTGTATGTAGTATGTGAGTATTTTAATACAGACAAATTGAGTGGCAATTTCATTTACATACACTTCCTTTATTATTTTTTTTGTTGGAAGCTTTTTATTTTCAGCAGATGGATTCGCCAGAGTAATGAGGCACTGGGATTCTCTGAAACATTTGCTGTGAACTAGAATTGATGCAAACACTGTTGGGTCGTGTTGTAGCTGAATTTTAATAGAAAAAGTCTCTGTTTCATTTTCCTTGAAATATATTGGAGTTTACGCTCTTCATTTATTTTCCTAGTCACAATTTGAGCTTTGCCATTTTGAAATATGTGTGTCTTTTTAGTACTGATGATTTTCATTTTTTCCCTTCAGGCTACCAGTATCACCATCCCTCCAAGATGAGCAACAGCCACCCACTCCGCCCTTACACAGCTGTTGGGGAGATCGACCACGTTCACATTCTGTCCGAGCACATTGGTGCCCTAATGAACGGCGAGGAATACAGTGACGTTACCTTCATTGTGGAAAAGAAACGTTTTCCAGCACACAGGGTGATCCTGGCTGCTAGGTGCCATTACTTCAGGTGGGATATAGCTTCTTGTCAGGCAGGAAATTTTCCTGCCGGGAAGATAAACACTGTTTTGATATGAACTTTTCAATGTGTAATCATCTGTCCATTGAGTGTGACCTTTTCTTTGGAGTGTTTCCCCCGCACATCAAATCGTTGTGTCTGGATATAAAAAGATAAATACCATGTCATGATGTTATTCTTTTGACCTTCATTAAATTGGACTTTGAAGGTATAATTTCTCTTGAATCTGTGAAACAAACTTCAGCACAAAAAAGATCTACTATAAAACTGTTATGATTTCTCAGAGTTTGCATTTATTCTTCTAAAAGGTATTTTTTTWAAAGCAAGAGTTAAAACTAAGACTAATCCTAATCCAGCTTTGTTTTGTAATTATTACTTCTTAAGAGACATTTTGACTCTGAATATAATTAATGACACTCCTTGGTAGTTGTCTACAAGTTAATTTTGTCAGAGGGATAAACTAATAATTAAGCTAGGATGTGAATGTAAATTGTATTCCAACCGCCTATCATGTTTTAGAAATAGGTCACTGGTGTGTTGATTTTTCTCAAGATTTGACACTTCAGCAGGGTTGCTGTGAGCTGGTTTTAGAGGAAGAAACAGAGGATCAACAGTTTGAGATTTGCTAAGCTGCCATTGTTGGTTGTTATGGTGATGGACAAGTTGTTCTGAAACTCGTGTTCCAAAAGGTTTTAGCACTGAGTGTTTTTGTTAATTCTGTGCTTTGATGGGGGTGTGTGGTTTGGTGCTTTCAGTGAGGAGGAAGAAAAAGTGCCAGGATGCCATGTGAACTTCTACTTTATAAATTGGGTGAGTTGGGCCTGTTTAGCTTGGAGAAGAGAAGGCTGAGAGGGAATCTGATTACYATGTGTAAGTACATGAAGGGAGAATGTAGGGAGGAAGGGGCCAAGCTCTTCTCAGTGGTGGCCAGTGACAGGACAAGGGGCARTGGGCATAAGCTGAAACACAGGCAGTTCCATCTCCATGTGAGGAAGAACTTCTTTACTCTGAGGGTGACAGAACCCTGGAACAGGCTGCCCAGGGAGGTTGTGGAGTCTCCTTTTCTAGAAGTCTTCAAAATCTGCCTGGATGCCAACCTGTGCCACATGCTCTAGGTGTCACTGCTTGAGCAGGAAGGTTGGACTCGATGATCTCTAGAGGTCTCTTCCAACCTTGAACATTCTGTGATTCTGTGAAATTGTTGTTCCAAGAAGAGATGGAGCAATTTTTCTGGGGCCATTAAAAACATGATAAATTAGGAAATAATTCCTGTGCAACTACTTTCAGAGTAGATGTGCAGTTTAAATATTAAGCGTAGGAGTCTTTCCTTTCATAACTTCCTAAACCGTATCTGCTGTGTTTTATATATGCTGATGTTTTGACAGCTGTAAAGTCTTTCTTTTGTTGGTTTTTTTTTGTTTAGTAGTGCCAATATTGTTAGCATTTAAGTTTCTCAAACTTTATCTTTTTTTTTTTTTTTTTTTTTTTTTTTTTTTTTTTTTTTTTTTTNTTTTTTTTTTTTTTTTTTTTTTTTTAAACAGAGCACTATTGTATGGTGGAATGAGAGAATCTCAGCCTGAAGCAGAAATTCCTCTTCAGGACACTACTGCAGAAGCATTTACAATGCTGCTGAAATATATTTACACTGGTCGTGCCACACTACGAGATGAGAAAGAGGAGGTTCTCCTCGACTTCCTAAGCCTAGCACATAAATATGGCTTCCCAGAACTGGAGGATTCCACATCTGAGTATCTTTGTACCATCCTCAATATTCAGAATGTTTGTATGACCTTTGATGTTGCCAGTCTTTATTCGCTTCCCAAATTAACTTGTATGTGCTGTATGTTCATGGATAGAAATGCTCAAGAGGTGCTGTCTAGTGAAGGCTTCCTGTCACTCTCTAAGGTATATCTTTTTTTATTTTGTTTTCTTATTTTGTCAGCAATGTTAATTTTAGTCTGTTTTCACTCCATAATGAGCTACTAATGGTGGCATAAAATGAAAGTTTACAGATTTGTTGATGAACATCATTTTAGACTAATGAACCTGGCAGTTGGAAATACTATACTGCTTGACTCCCAAATAACTCCTTAAATTCCTGAGGAAATCTAAAGCAGTAATTTGGAATAAAATTGATTTGAATGGTTCTCCATAGTTTCATACTATTGTATTTCTCCTGGTGATTTTTCCTTTTGCTGTTACTTCAAAGAATGCATAGCTCCTGCATAACTAGCTAGATAGAATATAGGAATACACGARCCGTAAAGACAAGAGTGAAACTGAAAGCTGCTTTTTCTTTTTGAGAACTTTCATTAAAATTCAGGAGTCTTAAGGAAGGCTGCTGCTCCGAGCTGCTGCTCAGGCACTTCTTGAGGGATTATTTTTTAATAACTACCAATTGAAACATCTACTGTTTTTCTATGTTTTAATTTTTTTTCCTTTTTTTTTTTTATTTTCCTTTTCTAGGCTGCTCTTCTGAGTATTGTTCTAAGGGATTCATTTGCAGCTCCAGAGAAAGACATTTTCCAAGCGTTGATGAACTGGTGTAAACACAACCCCAAGGAAAGCCATGCTGAAATCATGCAAGCAGTGCGCTTGCCACTAATGAGCCTAACAGAACTGTTGAATGTTGTAAGACCTTCGGGGTTGTTGTCACCTGATGCCATCCTAGATGCCATTAAAATTCGCTCTGAGAGTCGGGACATGGACCTCAACTACAGGGGCATGTTAAGTGAGTATCTATTAATTATCCCTTGCCAAATGAGAGAATAATCTGGAGAGTATACTTAATATTCTATTTTATATTTTATCTGTTTTCCTTTTATAAAAAGCTTACATAATGAAATATCTGTTTGTGTACCATTCTTGACGTTGGAATTCCTCAAATATGTGCAAGAATACATTTTATTGCAAAAATATGCAAAAATGTATGAGAAACATGTTATTTGATTGTTCTTCTTGTCTGTGCTTATGTTGGTTTAGAAATCATATTTGTGTTTACCAAAACATTTTATAAAGAAAATATTCCTTTGGTTTTTAATGTGTGAATTATAAAGAGTATTTGTTCCAGGCAAGTTATATGCTTATGACAAGTTATGATCTTTTAAGAAGTTATGTGATCTTTTAGCAATGCACTGTAGTGTCTCAGTTATTCAGGATGAGAACTGAAGTGGAAAACTGCTTTGTTAGAACTGCTTTGTTCTTTCTTTGAATATAGAATATTAATATTTAAACAGCTGAATTAATATTTAAAAAATCCTATCATACAAGACATCCTGTTGGTAGTGCAGTAGATAAATCTGAAAAAGTTAAATGGTGCTTTCAGACTTCATTTTCTTCATAGTCATGTCTCACTAATACACTCTTCATCTCAAGWTTTCTAACCTGATCAAAATCACAGTGTCTAAAGGAATTGAGTATCTGTTGGTTTACTGTGTGTTCAGACTCTTGGGATTTTGCAGGAACTCTGMTTACTTGCAATTTTGTAATTGTGCATCACTGTATTTGATGCGTTTTTTTAGTACTACAACACAGTATAGCTAGGATTTTATATCTTCAAAATATTTTCTTTAGGTATTAGACATATCATAGAAATTCACATTTCTCTTGCCAACCTGGCTAAAGAATTCAGGAAGGAGCTTTTCATCATTTAGTGTTCAGGGCAGTTCAAGACAGTTAAATGCACTATTTTTACTTATTTATTTTATAAAACTTTTTAGCTTTATAAAAATAAATCTTGTTTTGGTTTTAGAGTTGAGGAACGTTGTCCCCCATGGTCTAGATTGAAAAGYAGTTCCTAGAACAGTGTGAAATGGTGGCATTGAGTTCCTTATCCATAYTGAGTCAAAGCCCAAGGAGCCTTTTTTTTTCCCCCTTCCTCCTCAGGTTCATTAAGCTTTGCAGAATATTGGAAAGTTAAATAGCTATCAAAAAACATGGCTATGCCATTCTGCAAATTGATAGTGCATGCCTCGCTCAAGCATTTTGCCTGGTTTTGGAGTCCTTCTATCTCAAAGTCAAAATTAAACAAACAAAAATGCAAGGACACAAGGATGATTGGAGATAGGGCGAGAGGTTGATTGTGAGAGACTAATTGGGACAAAAATATCTAAGTAGGGAGGAATGTAATGACTGAATGGGAAAGGTAGTTTAGAATTCTATAAAATCCTGAAAAGCACTGAGAGTATAGATACTACATATTAGTAAGTGTAACAGTAACTTACTGTTAGCACCATGTATGAACCCAAGGGTATTAAATGAAATGCAAGAAGTGAGTTTTTTTGAAATGCATTTTGTTAAAAAGCGTAATTGCCTTGTGATGATAATGCTAAGTTGTGCTTTGGAACCAAAGCATAAGGTTTGTAATTATTTGTAAAAGGTGCTTCGGGAGGGATGGAAATTCACAAAATAATCTATTGGCTGTTATATACAGAGATACAACTTATGGCCTAGAAAATGGAGTTGTGGATTGCTGGAAACTGAATGGTTATACAAGGAGAGTGTCATTCTGCACTTTTTTTCTTAAGCACATGTTTGTTACTGCCATTGGAGGACGGGTACTAGTAGTAAATCTCTATTCTGACTTAGCAGTTGGTGTTCTGAATACGCAATTTATATTCTAGCATCACAAATATTAAGCAATTATTTCCTTTTCTTCTTAGTACCAGGGGAGAATATCGCGACAATGAAGTATGGTGCTCAGGTTGTAAAAGGGGAGCTGAAATCTGCTTTATTAGACGGGGACACTCAAAACTATGATTTGGATCATGGGTTTTCTCGACATCCAATTGATGATGATTGCCGTTCTGGAATTGAAATCAAACTAGGCCAGCCATCAATAATCAACCACATCAGGATACTCCTGTGGGACCGAGATAGTCGGTAGGTAGCAAGTTGTCATTAAAAAAGGAAAGTAATAACTTTTGTACCTGTTGTGTAAATACTAAATGTTCATAAATATTTTATACAACTGTCATGATACCRTGTTGGGGATGACATTGCCAATTTAAAAAAAAAAAAAATTTTTTTTTTTAAATACAGTTATGGCTACTYACACAGTGGGCTGTTTGTTATATTGGACTTATGCCATAATATCTCATTGTATTCTCTGTGTCTTTGTTAAATAGCTTGTATTGCTAATAATGGTTTTAACAGTTGTTTTCTATTTGCCATTTAGTTTTCAACTGTTTTTAATTGTTTGAATAATATTCAGTGCTTTTTTGCTTATTTTATTTTTCAGAAACTTAGTTTGTATTTATTTGAATAAATTTGTTCAAAGCTTTTGATCATATAAAAATCATATAGTAATAACATTGTTGACAATAATTCACAGTGCATTTTTTGATGATGTGCATTCAGCTATCTGTATCAGTTAATACAAACCTATACATAACTATACATAGATAATAGAGATTTTATATTTTTAATGTAACCATATATATTAGCTGTAAATAACATGCATCTGTASTAATATGGGAGCTATTACTAATTGAATCTTATGTATAAAAGTGTCAGGGAGGTCGAGGAGACTGGCTATTCAAAGTGCATCTGCCAARAAGACCCCAACCTTAGTAAATACAAGTCATTGTCATGTGTGATAACTGTATTTTTGAGGGTTTTTGTGTGTGTGTGTGTCTGTCTGTGGTATCCTTGCAAACTTATAGAATACTGTATACTGGTTACAATTTTGTGTTATTCTAGGTATAATGTTGTGAGATTCCCTGAATTCTCAMAACATAGGGGACAAGTAGTAACTTTTGGATACACTAGGCATGTTTGTACATTTGACTTCRCAATGCTGGAGACTCATTTGGTCAAATATGCATATGCTAGTAATTAGAAAGTACTGAAAAACAGTGTGCTATACTTAAAAATCGCTTTTTTTCTTTTTTTCTTTTTTTTTTTTTCACAATCCAAAGGTCCTATTCCTACTACATTGAGGTGTCCATGGATGAGTTGGACTGGATTAGAGTTATTGATCACTCGAAGTATCTYTGTCGGTCCTGGCAGAAGCTCTACTTTCCTGCCCGTGTTTGCAGGTCAGTTCATCAATGTAATGTTACGTGGATATCATTAAATAATGTAGATATTGGAATAAATTGCTGGATGTTTCAGCTGTATTATGCGTTCCTGATGATATATGAAGTACACAGTTTTCATCAGTCATCTTAAAGTGGTCTATCTCAGTGCGTGCTTTTTAATATAAATGYAGCTGATAAACTGCAGGCATCAAGTATCAAGACTGTGGTGCTTTCATCGCTAACTGTGCGCATCTTTCAAGCCGTTCTACTCACCTTTCCTCTCGTAGCTGCATTCTGAAAACATAAYCATATTTCTTACTCTGCAGTAGGCACTTTTCCTTAACTCTGAAAACTTTAAAATTCTTCTAATTATTGATGATACAATTTGGATATTTCTCATTTTTATATATATTTTCTGCTGTTATATTAAAGTAATATTTTCAACATCCAATTAAGATAAAGGAAGCTTGAGCTATACTTTGTGTAAGATGAAACAGCTAGATGAGTTTATTCATCAGTGTGTCTTTTTACTGGAGGAACTGGGAGAAACTTTGTGGCCACCATTGACGCCATCCTACCTAAAAACTACCCTGAGCTTCCTGGCAGAGAGTGCCAATACAGGTTCCAAAGGCACCCTGTGATTGTTAGAATCTGTGTCAGGTACCCAAAGAAAAAATGTCTATATGCGTATTTTTTGTTTTCCTTGTAGACTATAATTTCAGGTGAAATGAGAAGGCTGTTGATAAGGATAGCCTTTTTACCAACCATCACATGAGCAGGAAGATTTGATGCTGTCTAGGATTTTGTGGTGGGGCTTTTCTAAACCATTTTTCAAAAAGACAGCCATCCACAGCCTTGTCTGAAAGCAATAAACATCAGTTCATCTGTTTCCCCACCCTGCCTTGATCTCAGTGGGAAATAAGACTGTTACAAGGGCGTTCTTAAAATTGAACGTATATTTTGTTTTGATGTAGGCTCTTTGAGAGATGGAGGATTGAATGTTATTTCAGATGTTTGTGTRGTGCCAGAACTTAATCATTTTTGGTTGATTCTTTTATGACTTGTTATTATCTGATGAAAATTCCTAGACTYGATACTGTGGTGTTTTTGTCTCTAACACTGAGTACAGATGGAAAATATGAGCCAAAAGAGATTATCTTTAGAATGTATTCCTTTAACACTTGTCATTCTTTTTTGACAAATAAAAATGATGTATGCCCCTCAAGGGGCTGATAGACTCTAAGTGGACTATGTGCTCTAGCCAAGAAGAAATTGTCATCAAATTATCAACAGATAATGAACAAAAATCACTCCATTTGAAGACATAAGACACCTTCTTTCTCCATTTCTAAAAGAAGGCTCTATGTATGTAATGTAGTTCAGCAAATCCTTCWCATATATTAGCACTTGGTTAAGCACTGGATTGATTTCAAGCCTTATAAGCAAAATTAGTTAGGCCTTTGAGTTGCTTGACACTGCTTCTGCTGTATATTCTTGAGGCAGTAAATCCCAGTGCCAAAATTTTCCTTTTCATGGATGAGAACTGTGAAATGTGTCACAAACATCCTACTTCACTCTGCCTTCTGGCCATTATTTTTAACATTCATTCCCCCCGTGGTACCAGTAATATGGTTATATACTCCTTGCAAGCAACAACTTGGGGAACCTTGCAGAATATTTTTAGAGAATTTGTATGTGTTGTCGATAGAATATAAAGTAATTATCTTTCACAGTTCCTTTTTTTTTTTTTTACGATATAGTTTTAAGAGATTGATTTTAGCTGGAGATGCTTCATAATATCACTACATAGGGAGATTTTTTCAGGAATAAAGGAGAATTGAAGCATGAGTGTAGACTGGGGTTATATTTGCATTGACTGCGAGAGACTGAATCTCTCCTTCCATTCTCTKATTTTGAAAAAGGCAGGTTGTGTGCTTGATGTTGAAGGACAGCCTGTTGTTTCTAATGCACTGATGCAACTATTCATATATTAGTCAAGAAAAATGAGAGCTATCAAGGGCTGAACTGGCATGCTATTCTGCGTTTTAAGAAATTACCTTGGCATTTACATGAGAAGGAAAATTGATTGTGTCTATTTCCTATTTGCATTTTACATACATGTTTTCTCTGCACTTTTTTTTTGAAAAGTATTTATCTTTTTCAAGCATGAATCTTCATTCAGTTACATATCTGTACTTCTCCAGAATCAATGTACTTTTCACACAAGTTGTATGAGAAAGATGCCACTTTCTGGCAGTTAATTGTTAAATTAACTAAACCTAACAATCTGTATCACAATGAACCAAGAGCAATTTAGTCTGTTTAATCAGTCCTTTATTCTATTTATATATATATATATATATATATATATCAAATACCTTTTTCTGATTTTGGTTATTAGGAACATTGTATAAACACATTAGTTTTGCAGCTATGGGCAGTATGTGAAAACTTTTTATGGGAGATATTTTTCAGTTGTCAAGGCGTCTACCAAGGTATCCAAACTAGTTGGATGGGCTCATGGGTCTCAGTAAAGTTATGTGACCTTTTACATTCAATATATCTTCCTGTTAACTCAGACCTGTGTTTTAATAGGTTCAGAATAACTTTTGGCAACYGTAACCTTCACCGAGATTAGCGCATGCAAAATGGGAGAATAGAGACCAAAGACTCTAAATTTCTATATATTGCAATAAGAACACGGTTTAGAGTTTCTCAAGCATGGAATGTAGTCAATTTGTTTTTTGTAGGATGTGATTCCCAACTTAGACACTAAAACTTTTTTTTTAAAACCTTTGTGAGGTTTTGTAGTGACGTTGAAATGAATATTTTTCATTTGTATCTTAAAGTATTTTTTTGGTATGTGTCTAGTTATCAGTCCAACAGTATAACCTGTTCTTTTGTTCATCTGAAAAACTGAACTCCAAATTCTTGACAATATTAAAACAAAGAAGCATTTGATGTATAGCACTTTACTTAGTACATAGAAGCCAATGCTAAATTGTGTTGCCTCAAAGAAATCAGGGCTAAACTTCATATTAAAACCTAGTACAGGGTATCTGTCATGAATTGTGAGGATATAAGTTCAAATATGAGTGAGTAGCAATGATTCTTTTTTTAAAGAAAAATTTGGGGGGAAACTTTTGTGATGGTTCCCAAGGCTGGCATTCTGACCCACAATTGAAATAAAAAAGCAAATACTTAGGGAAAATATGAAGTAAACTAGTACTTCTAAAGATCTTTGAATAAGTAATGTTGCTTTCTGTTTTGTCTTTTTGGTTTTCTCTTTTAATTTTCCTTTTATTTGTTTTGCAATACATCTTTTTAATTTCTCCTAATCCACAAATTTTGAAGAATTATGTTTAAAACTTCAAAGGTAAAGTTTCAAGAGGTCTCAAATATAGCCACAAGGTGTCACTCTGATGCAGCTTTAAAAGACTGTTTCTGTTCTAACATCCTGTTAGTGAAACTGTCAGTGCTGGTGTATCCTGTGCTTGCATCCTAAACTTGCCAGTTTTATGAAACCATTCTGGTTCTTTTTGCTATAGAGAGAGAGCAAGTACAGAGTTGGCTTGCTGAACTTATAGGGACTTCTCCAATAAGTATGTGTGTTTTCATCTCGTGTCAGATGACATTTTAATTGAGTTTTAATTGGAGGAGTAATTTTACAGGTAGACCAATACAGAATCTGAAAAGTAATGCTGTTTTTGTCAATWGTACTAAAATTTGAAAATTGTAGTGAATGGCGGTGAGGTCAAATTTTAATTTGCATTTGCTACTGTTCTATAGTCCTTGCCAAATACTAATTTTAGAAAGTACATATTTTCTTACTGTTCTTGAAATGACTAATCAAAACATGAATTCTTTATAACTCTCTTTTTTTTCTGAAATAACCTTTAGTATGAGACACAAGTGGCAAAAATGTAAATGAGGGAAATTATATCAATTTATTCTTTTATCTTGAGAAGTGAAAAGCATTGAGTCTAATGCTATCAGTTTGATTTAGTAATGGAATGACGTGAATGAATGCTCACATGCATCTCCTTTAAAGCATTCAGCTGCTGTAGAAAGTGTGTTGTAGAATTGCTGTACTTTAGAAGATGCACTCATGCTAAAATATATTTTTTGAATGCAGAGGGATTTTTTTCCTTCTATTAGGCATTAACATTGCGAGGGGAAAAGAGGTGGTAGGCAAGGAGAGTTGTTTAATGCTTTAGCTGTTGAAGCTGGTAATAATTACCCCGTTTGTCATCTGTCTTCGTGCAGAAATCTTAAATTTGTATTTCCTGTATCTCCTTTTTAAGAAAAATAAAATGTAAAAGGAGTAAATGTTAAAATAGTAATTCAGGTCTAAACTAAGGATTTTTGGTAACTGTGTCAATATTTTTAAGTATTGGCTAGACAGATGTTTTTAAAATTCAGTTCTTCATCTGTGATGAAGTCGTTTTTTAATGTTTTTGTTTGTTTGTTTGTTTCTTTCTTTCTGTTTGTAGGAGCCATTGAGAATGACTACTGATTAAGCAGTAATTTTTCATTTTCAGCCTTACCAATAGATCTCTGGCATCCTTATCCTAAGCAGATACCCATTTTGCTTCATATTCCTATGCTTAGTGATAATAATTCACAGAAAGCTATTCAGAATATTGTTCATTTTAAGAACATGTTGAAACAAGTGGATTGTTGACTCATGACTCCAAAGCAATTGAAACCCTTTCTTAGGTATTCAAAAATAATCTGAGAAGGCAGCAGTGTCTGCAAATCTAATCTTGCACTAGCTTTTTGAAGCAAATAATTTTACTTTCTCCCCGACCCCCTGCAGAGCACGACATTGCTTAGGAAATGKGCGTAGGTGCCCAGGGGAAGCTTTTGAGCATTGCTCTAGCTTTAAATGCAGCTCGAATCTACCTCTGACGTAATGAAAAACCTAGACTAACCTGTTGGCAGAAGCTCCGCTAAAGTCTTCAAAAGCATTTGAAAAAAAAAAGTCTTGTAACAAAGCTAGTCATTAATCCTCCWGA